TACACTAACACTTGCAGCTGTTTGAAATTACTTTTATTTTGACACCAAGGGAAACTTGAGAAAACTCAAATATCATGGTTCAATTATTAATGGTTAATGGTCAACCAGAAAATGGAATCTTGTGCTTAGGACAGGAATAGATAATGCTTATTAAGGGGATAAGGAGGGGAGCACAAAGTATGGGGCAATTAGAAGGGTATTCATATTTTAATTCCATTATGGTCTTTAGTTGTTGGTTAACATTTTAGAGAAAAATCATTTATAACATTCTGTAATTTTAATTTTGGGAAAGATGATAAAGTAAAAAGTTGATATACCTTTCCTGAAACAGGAGCATGAAAACACCAAATGTCTCTAAATAGAAACTCGAAACTTTCCATATCTTCTTTTATTCCAGATTGTTTACACTGATAAACTTTTTCAGTAGATGCTCATTTCTCAAATTAGGAATTAATTTGAGTTGTTCTGACATTACTGAAGGTAGATGATTACTTATGGAACAGAAATTATGAACTTTTCAGAGGAGGTAGGGAATCCGAGAATTAAGAAATCTGATAGTTTTCTTTTATTAATAATGAAAATAACTTTAAAAATACAATGATTAATTTACTAATAGTCAATCTATGAGACAATAAATTTTGTTTGTATAGTTCTATTTTATTTTTTTTGATGAGCAAGAATTAGATTTTGTCAGGAAGAATACTTATATATAGCTAATAATTATTTTACACATATTTCTTAAACTTCATTCTATGCCTTAACAAAGAAAAACAGGCACTGAATCAATGAGCTGGCTTTTATTTCTACTTCGGCTTTAAATTTGTTTCCATTGTGGTTTATCACTGGTTCGTAGAATTTATTTCCTTACACGAAATGCATATTGTAAAATTCAAGTATACTTACACTTTAAAACATTTACATTTTTACATCTCAGGACTAAAGGTAAATCAGTCACTACATGCTTATAGGCCTCTCAAATGTAAGTTGTCTAAACTAAACTACTGATTACCAACCACAGTGTTGATTCTACTAGACTTTTCCCTATAAATGGCAATTCCTTTCTTTGAAGAACTAATGATAAATAATTAATAATTATTGACTCTTCTCTTTTTCTCACACTCCATATCTAAATCACAAGAAGCCTTTCTGTGATTGTCTTCAAAATATCTAAAGAATCCAAATACTACTCTCCATGCTAGATCAGCACCCTGATCTAGTCCATAATGAGGTATGAATAATGTCAGTGGCCTCCCCATGGTCTCCCTGCTTAAACATAGGCTCTTACTATCTATACTTAACATGGCAGCCAGACTGATCTTGTTAACACAGATATCAGATTCCATCACATCTTGGTGGAAAAGCTAAGACTAAAAGATGGTCTTTATAGGGACCAAATATTGTGCACCATCTCTCCTCCTACTACATCTCCAAGTTAAGTTCCTTCCAGACTCCTCTCCTTTATTCCATTGAAGCAACACTACATCTTCAAGTTAAGTTCTTTCCAGACTCCTCTCCTTTGTTCCACTGAAGCAGCAATGGCCTTGATATTTCTTGAACATCCCATGTAAGTTGCATTTAAGACTTGCTGGTGCTTATTTCTACAACATTCTGTCCCCAGATATTTGTAAGACCCACACCTTCACTTTATTCAAGCCTTACTAGAGAGGCCTTTAACTAAATAAAATAGAAATTACCAATCCTCAACAAAAGCAATCCCTTATTTCCTCACCTAGCTTTATTTTCTTATTTAATATATTATAAATATATTTATTCATTTAGTTTCTGTCTCCCCACCCTAAGTAAACTTCATAAAGGCAGGAACTCAGTCTGTTTAATCTCTGATGTATCCTAATTAATAGCTATAGACATATATTAGGTGGTCAGTTAATATCTTTGAATAAATCAATGTTTGTCAAGTGTATACTGAATGACGAAATATGAGATTGGTAATGTACACTCTTTAAGAGCTTGGGTTTGGAAGTTATGTGAAAGTTTTAAAATGTGGCATTATTCTATGCTAGTTTTATGATACTAAATAAGGTATTTAACCTCTTTAAAGTTGATTTTTCCCATCTGTAAAATGAGAACAAATACTAGCGTTTAAACAATAGATTATTGTGCAGATTAAAGGAGATAATAAAGAGAATTAAGCTTAGTAAATTCTTAAAGTAATGTTAATGATTAGTAGTAGTAGTAAGTGTTATATAAAAGATCTTTTGAAAAGATTCTCAAGCTATTTCCTTCATATGAATTTTATTTTTTTTTCAAAACAACCTTAGTTTTATAGGATAAAATTTTCAAAATAAAATATAAACTATATATCTTGCTAGTTTTAAATGTTTATATAAACACATCTAGTCATTCCACTTAGTTAATACAATTTATGTCTTTTTTTTTTTTTTTTTAATCACCTAATGTGTCTGGCCCTGTGATAGAGACTAGGGAGGCTATAAACATATATCAATTTCAAGTAGCTCATTTTGTAGTAAGGATGATAAAACGTGTGGAGGGATAACTATGATATCATGCATAGCAAGATGAAGTGCTTGAGTATACAAGATCGAGTGTATAAGATTGTCCCTGGCTGAGAATTTACTCATTCAACAGATATATGAAATGCTACACATGCTGAGCACTGATCTAGGAACACACAGGTGAGCAAGACAACAAAAACCTGGGCCCTTTGAGGCTTAAATTCTAATGTAGAACCAGGAAGCTTTCCTTTACTGAGCTACTTGTGGATGGGAAGCTTTCCTTTACTGAGCCATTCAACATTATTTAGTGGTTCTTGTATGCAAGGCAGGCACTGAGAATAGAAAGAAAAAATGAAGATAAATGACAATGATCTCATGGATAAAGCCACATCTGAATTAATATTGAAGGTCAGGTAGAGCCAAGGTAAGTGGAGAGGACAGTTTATGGCTGAATGAAGTATTTCAAAGAGGTAGAACAAGGACTCGATAAGAGTTTTTCTGGAAAGGAAATAGTGAAATGTGGGATTATGGGCAAAATTACATGGGGTTAAGCATCAAAGTATATATACTTTGCTTCATTTTTTTGCTTGTTTAGTGATGAATCATCAGAGGAAAGCAGTGATTTAGTAAAGTCTACCTTGGGGCAATATATGTATGGAGTGGGCTAAGATAAGACAAAAGTGGGAAGGCTAGTTTGAGGATTGTTGAAATATCCCTGGAAAATATATAGTAAGAGCCTGTAAGATGGAAGTCACTTTAAAAGATAGGATGAAATACTATATTTGAAAAGTAATTGCAAATTTATCTAATAAGTCAGAATTGTCTATTTAAACAATCAGTTGTCATTGAATGTGCTATCTCTTCAGACATAGAAATAGAAACAAATAAGGAGAGATTTCTCTATGTTTCTCTAATATTTTGTTTAAAGTTATTACTTTTACAGAAGAACTATATTTATTTGTACATGATCCTAGATTAAGAAATACAACTATGAATCATTTTAGGACTCAATAGAAGTATTCCTTTAGTCAACTTTGACAATAATTTCCACAAGTGGGGAAAGATAAATCTTAAAGAACTAAAGATGCTGCAATGGGAAAATTATTTTTCCTATTTTCCTTTAATTTTGAATCTCTTCAAATCATAGAAGTTGGCACTGTATATATTACATTAAAGCATCTTGTATTGCGAATGAGCCAATTAAGCCAGGAACTGTGGGGTTCTTACATCATTTCTCATATAGTCTCTCAGGAATATATAAATATTTCTGATATGCCCTCTTTAACAACACATCACAGATGGAATTTGAATTCGGACTCGTGTTTCTGGCACGTAGAGCAGTGGTATAAGAAAGATGAAGGTTCATGATGACACCATCCATAGGTGTGCGACTTCAGACTCCCTACCTCAGCTACAGTCAGAAAAATCATGAGATTTAGTTGCACTTATGTCTCATTATCTGTGTGCTGCAGGTTGAGAATAATTGTTAAATAAATTAGCATCAGATCAGAAAGCATGAAATTAAGGACACAAATAAAGTGAGTTGCAACATGGTAAATTAAAAACAAGCTGAAGACTTCCTAGGCTGAACATCAAGAGGTACATTTATTAAGGGAGAATGCAGTTTGAGCTCACATAGAACAAAAAATAGGACAGAAATATTTTAAATATTTTCATTTTGCTTTATGTATATGTGTAGTTTCATGGCAGCAACAGCAAATAGAATATTTGATTAGGAGATTAGACATCTCCAATCTGTATTCCCAGCTCGAGTACTGTTTTTTAGACTAAAATTTATAAAATTTAGATATGATCATGTGTTCATAAAGGTTTCAAGTACATATAAAATAGATGACAAATTTAATTGACTTAATATGATAAATTTAGTTGTCTCAGTTTGTCTCAGTCAGGACCTATTCACAGTAAACAAGTTTTATAATAAATCAGCTGTCTATAAAAGGAAGTGAATATTAATTATAATAATTTTGGGGTGTTGCCCACTCGTATCTGATGCATTCACTTAGATTAAAATAAATATTTATTCACTACTCTAATTAACTGCAGGTTTATTCACACACACACACACAAATATATTTTAATTTAATCTGTTCAACAATATTACAAGTTAGGTATGATGATATTTTTTGGATCACTTTTTTTGGTGATATTGGGGCTCAAAATGTTTAACTGACCATGGACTGGTTTAGCTTTAGGTATAATAGGCTTACATAAATATTTAAGACACTATCTGTATTTTCAAGGAACAGACTTTTTTTTACTTTTTTTTTGTAGCAAAAGAGACATATATGCAAAAGAGACAAAATTAAGTGAAATATTTGAATAAGAGTTTTGGGCAAATGGAAGATCATTACAGATAACTGCAAAGATCAGCTTGGACAAGCTGATGTCATTTTGAATAACATTGCTGTGGCTAATTTTCTTTTTATCCTGAAATTAATAATAACCCAATAGAAGACACCCAGATATCCACGATACACACACACATGCAATTTCTACTGTACTCACTTTTGGTCACAACACCTTCTAAGTGAATGATGTTAGGATGATCAAACTGCCCCATGATACTTGCTTCACCCAGGAAATCTCGGCGTTGCTTTTCTGTGTAGCCTACTTTCAGGGTTTTGATTGCCACAGATAATTCTCTTTTTCCTGGAAGTTTCAAACGTCCACTACAAACTTCACCAAATTCACCTTGTTATAAAGATGGAAAAACACAAAATTATTTCAAATCTTTACCCTAATGTTATGCTAAAGTCCTAGAATATTAATGTTTAGACAAAACAGTATTAAAGGGGAGTCCAAACTTCATTATCAGTGGTAAGAGAATAAGTGGTGCTTTGGGAAAAATCGTCTACTGGTGATCATAAAACACTGGGGGTTATTAGCTTCATCCACCTCACTTACAAAAACCTTAATGAAAACATTAGAAAGAAATTGAATGTAACTGACTGAAAATCACTTCCCTCCTCCTTCTCTTTCTATGGTAGCAGTGCCTTAATTAATAAGAACAGAAAAGGAAGAAAGTTTATGGAAGGACAAAAAGGAAATAATTTTAAGGAGGAGATGATTCATAAACAGAGTAACCGAGTGCTTAAACTATGTAAATAGTTTCGGGTACTACAAATTATATATGGAATACAAAAATAGTAGATAATAAAATCCTATGTTTGAATATACATATTTTTGCTGTGTTTTTTTTAAATTTTATTAAACAAACACTTGCTGGTTTAAAGATTTTATTTTTTTATTTGTCAGAGAGAGAGATGGAGAGAGCACAAGCAGGGGGAGTGGTAGGCAGAGGGAGAAGCAGGCTCCCTGCTGAGAAAGGAGCCCAATGCAGGACTTGGTCCCAGAATCCTGGGATCATGACCTGAGCAAAAGGCAGATGCTTAACCAACTCAGCCACCCAGGAGTCTCACATTCTCGGGTTAAAATATGAGCTCCACAGACGGAAGCATTAAAATATGACAAATAACATACCACTTTAAAAGTAAGTCAGTTATATGGGGCGCCTGGGTGGCTCAGTGGGTTAAGTCACTGCCTTCGGCTCAGGTCATGGTCCCAGGGTCCTGGGATCGAGACCCGCATCGGGTTCTCTGCTCTGCAGGGAGCCCGCTTCCTCCTCTCTCCTGCCTGCCTCTCTGCCTACTTGTGATCTCTGTCTGTCAGATAAATAAATAAAATCTTTAAAAAAAAAAAAAAGTAAGTCAGTTATAAAAGATTTAAAAATATTCTATGTTACATCAGGACATTAAAAAAAAAAGATCAGGATATTGACATGGTATATTCTATAATATAAACACAAATTAAAAGAAAAGAGAAAGGACCCCAAAAGATAAAATCATGAATGATAGAAAAGAGATCACAACCAATACCACAGAAATACAAACAATAATAAGAGAATATTATGAAAAATTATATGACAACAAACTGGGAAATCTGGAAGAAATGGACAATTTCTTAGAAACTTACAAACTACCAAAACTGAGAAAGGAAGAAATAGAAAATTGGAACAGACTCATAACCAGAAAAGAAACTGAATCAGTAATCAAAAATCTCCCAACAAACAAAAGTCCTAGGCCACATGCCTTCTCCAGGGAATTCTACCAAACATTTTAAGAAGAGCTAATGCCTAATAAAATAAAATAAAATAAAATAAAAAGAAGAGCTAAGTCTATTCTGCTCAAACTCTTCCAAAAACAGAAATGGGAAGAGAGTGAAAAAAGAAAAAAAGAAAAAAAAAAAAAGAAAGAAAGAAAAGAAAAAGAAAAAAGAAAGAAATGGAAGGAAAACTTCCAAACTCATTCTATAAAGTTAGCATAATTTTGATCCCCAAACAAGACAAAGACCCACTAAAAAGGGGAATTAGAAGCCACTATCTCTCATAAACATGGATGCAAAAATTCTCAATAAAATACTAGCAAATCAGATTGAACAGTACATTAAAAGAATTATTCACCACAATCAAGTGTGGTTTATTCCTGGGCTGTAGGGGTGGTTCAATATTCACAAATCAATCAACATGATACAATACATTAATAAAAGAGAAGATAAGAACCATATGATCCTGTCAATAGATGCAGAAAAAGCATTTGACAAAATACAGCATCCTTTCCTGATACAAACCCTCAACAAAGTAGGGTTAGATGGAACAAACCTCAACATCATAAGGCTATATATGAAAGACCCACAGCTAATATCATCCTCAGGGGGAAAACTGAGAGCCTTTCTCCTATTGTGAGGAACAAGACAAGGATGTCCACTCTCACCATTACTTTAACGCAGTACTGGAAGTCTTAGCCTCAGCAATCAGGTAACAAAAAGGAAGGCAAGGAAGAAGTCAAACTTTCATTATTTGCAGGTGAAATGACACTCTGTGTAGACAACCTGAAAGACTCCACCAAAAAATTGTTAGAACTCATACACGAATTAAGCAAATTTGCAGGATTTAAAATCAACATACAGAAATCCATTGCATATCTATACACCAATAACAAAGCAGCAGAAAAAGAAATCTAAGAATCAATCCCATTTGCAACTTCACCAAAAACAATAAGATACCTAGGAATAAATCTAACTAAAGAAGTAAAAGATCTGTATTCTAATAACTATAGAACACTTGTGAAAGAAATTGAAGAGGACACAAAGAAATCGAAAAGCATTCCATATTCATGAACTGGAAGAACAAATATTGTTAAAATGTCTATAATACCCAAAGCAATCTACAGATTTATTGCAATCCTTATCACAATGTCAAAACCATTTTTCAAAGAGCTAGAACCAATAATCCTAAAATTTGTATGGAACCACAGAAAACTTTGAATAGACAAAGCATTCTGAAAAAGAAAAACAAAACTTGAAGCACCACAATTTCAGACTTCAAACTACATTACAATGCTGTAGTGATTAAGACAGTATGGAACTGGCACAAAAACTGGCACATACATCAGTGGAACAGAATAGAAAACCCAGAAATGGACCCACAACTCCATGGTCAACTAATCTTTGACAAAGCAGGAAAGAATGTTAAATGCAAAAAAGACAGTCTCTTCAACAAATGGTGATGGGAACATAAGACAGCCACATTCAAAAGAATGAAACTGGACCACTTTCTGACACCATACACAAAAATAAATTCAAAATGGATAAAAGACCCTAATGTGAGACAGGAAACCATCAAAGTACTAGAGGAAAACACTAGAGGAAAACAAAGAGGTTTCTACCTCTTTGACTTTGCAGTAGGAACTTCTTACTAGACACATCACCACAGGCAAGGGAAACAAAAGCAAAAATGAACTATTGTGACCTCATGAAGTTAAAAAGCTTCTGCACAGCAAAGGAAACAATCAACAAAACTGAAAGGCATCCTATGGAATGGGAGAAGATATTCACAAATGATATATCTGATAAAGGGTTAGTATCCCAAATCTACAAAGAACTTATCAAACTTAACACCCGACAAACAAATGACCCAGTCAAAAACTAGACATGAATGGATACTTTCCCAAAGAAGACATCCAGATGGCTAATGGACACATGAAAAGATGCTCAACATCACTCATAATCAGGAAAATACAAATCAAAACCACAATGAGATATCACCTCACACCTCTCGGGATGGCTAAAATTAACACAAGAAATAACAGGAGTTGGTAAGGATGCTGAGAAAGGGGAACTGTCTTTCACTGTTGGTGGGAATGCAAACTGGCGCAGCCATTCTGGAGAACAGTGGAGGTTCCTGAAAATGTTAAAAATAGAACTATCCTACAGTCTAGCAATTTCCCTGCTAGGTATTTACCCAAAGGATAAAAAAAATACAGTTTCAAACAGATTCAAAATTATATATGCACCCTGATGTTTATAGCAGCATTATCAACAATAGCCAAACTATGGAGAGAGCCCAAATGTCCACTGACTGATGAATGAATATATTATATACAATGGAATATAACTCAGCCATCAAAAAAAATGAAATCTTGTCATTTGCAATGACATGGATGGAGCTAGAATGGATTATGCTACGTAAAATAAAATAGGTCAGAGAAAGAGAAATGCCGTATGATTTCACTTACACGTGGAATTCAAGAAAGAAAACAGATGAACATATGGGAAGGGGGAAAAGGAAAAAAGGAGGGACAGAAACAACCCATAAGAGACTCTTTTTTAAAAAAGATTTTACTTATTTGAGAGAGAAAGAGACAGAGAGAGTGAAAGAAAGAACACAGCTGGGGTGAGGGGCAGAGAGAGAAACAGACTCCCTGGGAGTCCAATGCAGGGCTCAATCCTGGAACTCTAGGACCATGACCTGAGCTAAAGGCAGACACTTAACCAACTAAGCCCCCTAGGTGTCCTGCCATAAGAGACTCTTAAGGATAGAGAACAAACTGAAGATTGATGAAGGGAAGTCGGTGAGGGGTGAGCTAGATGGGTGATGGGCACTAAGGAGGGCACTTGTTAGGATGAACACTGGGAATTGTATATAAGTGATGGATCACTGAATTCTACTCCAGAAACAAATATTGCATTGTATATTAACTACCCAAATTTTATATGAAAAATAGAAATAAATAAAAGTATGAGTTAAACACACTATTGTACCTGCTCCAATAACTCTTTGAATGGTGATACATGAAGCTTCTATCTCCTTGGCGAATTCATGGACAGCTTGATTGGGATCCTCATAGGTGTGTGGATCAATATAAGTTCTTACTCCTGGCAGCTTAACTGGAAAAATAAATGTGCATTAAAATATAACCGTTTGTAAGGATGAATGAAATCAGACATTATTAATCCCTAATCCCTTAAATCCCTAATTCCTAGAAATGCCTAAACTGTAAGGACAGCCCCCACCGCCCTCAGTTATAGGAGTCATTTGTATAGCTATGTCATCATTATAATTGTAGAAATCTGGATTGCTGGTATGTACAAGAAATTCATATATGAAAACATATATGAATAGATATTATCTTTCAACAATAATGTTCATAGAGTCAGTCTCCAAGGCAAACTAAGATAAGTTTGTTTCCTACACTGGGCAATGAAAGGCTGTGAGTTGCTGTTTTGTTATTCTGTTTCACTTAAAATGCTATCATAGATGAATTTTGATTTTACAAAAAAATAATTTAAAATAATTTTTCTGGTGCTTTGGTCCAGTAAGACTAACACAGAAGTCAAAAGAAAAAGGTAAGTTCTATCTCTCACTCTACCCCTGTTACTTCATGGCTTTAACTAAGACTCTATGATTCTATGAGCCTCAGTTTCATTACATTTAATGGCTACCAATTTCACAAGTTGCTTTTTTTTTTTTTTTTTAAGGATAAATAGCATTAAATAGGATAGGACCTATGAAAACAGATTCAATGCTTTGCAGCATGAATTATGGCTTCAATGATTTTGACTTTTATGGTCATAGCAGAGTGACAAAAACAAAAGAAATTATTTTTATTTACTTGCCAAATCAACTAATGCCATACTACTTACGAAAAATGCACATTTTATTATTTTTTTTAAAGATTTTATTTATTTGACAGAGAGAGACCACAAGTGGACAGAGAGGCAAGCAGAGAGAGAGAGAGGAGGAAACAGGCTCCCTACGGAGCAGAGAGCCCGATGCAGGACTCAATCCCAGGACCCTGAGATCATGACCCAAGCCAAAAGCAGTGGCCTAACCCACTGAACCACCCAGGTGTCCCCACATTTTATTTTTTTTTTAATATTATTTATTTGACAGAGAGAGACACAGCAAGAGAGGGAACATAAGCAGGGCAAGTGGGAGAGGCAGAAGCAGGCTTCCAGCTGAGCAGGGAGCCAAAGCGGGCCTCAATCCCAAGACCTGGGATCATGACCTGAGCTAAAGGCAGTGGCTTAACAACTGAGCCACCCAGGTTCCCCCCAAAATGCACATTTTAAAATACCATTAATTTGAACTCACTTAGTCTAGTTTTTAAAGTATGGTATCAAAACTTGATTTTCTGTGTTTTTAAAAAGGATAGTCTTTTTCAAATCATTGAATGAAGATTGTTGCTATAGGACCTGCACAGGAAATTCCTGCTAAAGTGCTAGAAAAAGAAGAAAGATACTGAGAAATTTTATTTGCTTCTTCCAATGGTGTTATTTAATGATAACTTTCTACTGACTCTGCTGGAAGAAATTAGAATTGGCCTGGAAATTTGGTTTGAACTATAATAGCTTTTTATAATGATTGAGAAGGTTTTTTTTTTTTTAATTATAATGAAGGTTTGTTTTAAAAAAATTGAATAAATCATCCAGCTGTTGTCTAGAGTCAGGCAGCAATGCCCCCAAGCCCATATGCTTTACAGGAACATAATAGAACACTTACATTTTTTTAAACACAATATTTTGGTCAGTTATTACAAATATCTTTGTCTGAAAGTACATAAAAATAAAAATAAAACCTCCTCTATTTTGTTTTCTCTTGATTTTTTATAATTTGCTTACTGTGCCCATTATGAAAATGCATCTTTTCCTCTTCCGGATCTTGTTTTGCTTTGCTGTAACCACACCGCCTGGAACAGAGGAAGCTACAATTAGCCACATCTCCAAGTGTTGAATCACATGAAGCCCAGAAGCTCAAAATGCAATTGAAATGATTGCAGCCCTAACTGATTTTCACACTAGTAGCATGAAAAAACACCAGTCCTTCTTTTGGATGAATGATATTTCTGCCATCCATATCTCTCAGTCTTGCCCAGATTTCACTGAGAAGTCAGAAGCCATCCAAGTCCATTTTTTTTTTATTCTCTCTGCCATACACCACACTCCAGATATTTTCTGCTTCCTTTCTTTCTTTATCGCTTTTTTTTTTTGCCACCTCAGAAGCCTTTTTACAGAATGCACCGCCCAAAATATGTCTCTGATTCAATAGTGTCCTCCTTTCAGTATCTTACTCTATCATTTTATTTATTTTTTTTTTCCTCTTGTTGGGATCTTTCTCCACTCAGTCCACTTAGATCACTACCAATTCACCAAACCTGCAACCCTTCTCAGTTCAGCTCCACTCCCCAAATCTTATTCTCTCCTATTTTACTTAACTACTTACTAATTTCAGTGTCCTTGCAACCTGTTCTTGTTACTGAAAAAAATCTGCTCTTTGAGGTTCACGAAGGACATAGTCACCTCGTGACTTTATCTTAGTTTTTAATTATTCATGATGGTCTGAAATCTCTGACTACTCCTTTCCTGATGCTTCTTGCTCCTCCCCTCATTTATGTGAACTTCTCTGGTTCTCTACTATCAATCCACTCATTTCCATCAATTTAATTAATACCTCCCTTCTGGTTTAATTCTTTTGAGAACTATACTCTTATTCCATCACAGGTTTATTTTATAGGGATATTCCATTGGCATACAGACTCAACAGATGTGAAAAACCAATCAGTATACTTCTCTTTACTTTCAGTCTTGATCAGTTGCCTTCTTTTTCTGTTAACAACACTGGCAAGGCCTTGGCCCCTTTAGGAATAAAGCCTTATCCTTGTGTACTTCACAGCAAATTAGTTGTCAAATCCCAAGCATTGTATAACATAAAAGTCTTACAATTCATCTCTTCTTTTTCATTAGCTCCTCTGGTTCTTCAATTAAGGCTTTGTTATTTTTCATTTGGATTGCTGTAAGTGCCTCCAAACTGATGCTCCTGCATTCTGCAACTATTTTCCCAAACTCTACTAGACCTGGCTGTAGCCAAATTACCATAAATAAGGTTACTTTTCTACTTTGTTGTCTCCTAAGTCTTTAATCAATCAATAAGATAAAGATTTCTAAACATAGCCCTAATGCCTATTTCCTACGCTACCTCTGTTATCTTCAAGTACACAGGACTATAGGTTCTCAGGTTCTCAAGATCTTTCTCCATGCTTCCACACATTTGCATATACTTGTTCCCACAACTAAGATAGTCTTCCTAACAATTTTCAATTATCAAAGTCCAGTTCAATTTTTGCCTTCTTCGTGGTTTTCTTTCTTCCTGATACCCCAACTTAATGCAATCTTTCCCCATGGGAACCTAACAGTTTTCTGTACTCCTGTCTCATTGCGATTCCCGTTTCAATGTAACATAATCATTTTGTATGTCTTCTGGTTCTTTTACTATTTGCCAGTTTTGTAAATGACAGTAGATAGCATTTATCTATAAATTTCTGTAGTGACCTAGCGCCTATCTCAGAGCTGGCACCAAAAATATTTGTCACATTAATGAATGAATAAATGAATGAGTGAATGATATGTTGGTTGCATCTACACAATGACGAGTATTTGCAAAGTTGATGAATACTAAGTTGATGTGGTACATGATAAAACATTAAAACAACTGACTCAAATGAAAATATTTAAACTATTTTAGTGAAAGTCTAGGGAAGTGAATTTACTGTTCATAAGGTCTCATAACAAAATTGAGTTTATTAAAAGCAAAATTTCCATTCATTTCTGAATAAAGAAAATACAACCAAAATGACAGATTGACAAATAATTTCATTATAAAGTTGGTTGAAAACTACTATGTGTTGTAAATGAAGTGCCCAATCCACACATACAAATGAGAACTTCCCCTTGTTTACATATTCTATATTTCTTTAATATATGTGTATTTTGATATAGAAATGAAACCTAGTTTATTCTATATCATTTCTAGTGTATAACTACATATATATCATACAAAGTAGATAACACAACCCGTCTCTGTGTCATTTTTGAATGAAAAATACAATTATTTCGTTTAATCATGTTAACAAACTGACAGTTTATTAATAAAATACAGCTAAGTGATATTTGAGGAAATCTGAAATATCCTTAATAGGAATGCTGTTCTTGGGTGAAGAAAAATACACAATGGGGATTTGGTGGCTTTTCAAATTTTATTCATAACACTTAGATAGCTGCTTTGCCATCCAAGAGTCCTTAAGACATCTTGAATTAAATCACTGCAGTGAAATGGAGAGGAAAAAAAATACATAAAATCATACTAAAACTACATTTGGTCTGACATTTAAGTTATTTTAACGCACTGTTCATAATTTTTCTAGATACTACATTATTCTTTCAATCGTTAATATATGTGTCTCTAGAGAGAAGTTATTGATACTTTTTAAAATCAATGTTCTAACTAAAATTGTGTGAAATCACCCTGAGATTTAGGTTATTTAAATAACACCGACAAAAAAACCTTTGTTAGAAGAATTCTAAAGAGACCTGAAAAGTATACAACTTCTTGCAGTTTACTTTAGAAAACAAACATCCATTCTACCTTCAACTCCTCTGCTTTCAAAAGGAAAAAAAAAATAATAAGCTTTCAAATTTGTAACTTCAAATAGTCTTTATCATTAAATAAGCCTCATGGATTTTTAAATTGCATGCAAATTCCTCATATGAAAATGGAAATAAAACTTTGGATCTCATCTAAAAAGTGGTCTGGGAATACCTTGGTGAGGACTGGTTAACATTTTAATACCTAAGGTGAGAGTCAGGAGGGCAATAGAAAGGAGTTATTTTTGACTATGAGCTTCTCTAGAGCTCAGTAACATATACGGCTGTATGCCACATTAACATATAAAATTAAGTTCTGGAACCCCCAAAAGCATCATTAAAACAAGCCTCTACAAGATACAGCAAGTAAAAGAGCAGCTGGCAGAGACTAGCACTCGAGCAGTGGTTCAGCCTCACTAACAGAGCACTGCAGGATGACTGCTCATTCAGTATCATCTTCTGTACCTGCTCCAGATGCATAATTTTAACCCATCAGACAAACAGTCAATAAATATGCCATTCTATACATAAATTATGCCTCCTACCCTCTGGAACCGATTTTTTTTTTTTTTTTTCTGAATGGAAAAGAAACAGTTTCTTCATTTTGCTCCCTATCACAATTTTAATGAGCTTTGATATCACTGTACTAAAAATATCTGGAGTGTTTTCAATTAGGGAAATCATCTTCTTGTCATTTTTACTTATGTTTTCCTAGAAAACAATGCTGTCTTACTGTTTAGTAGTAGAGGTGGCCATGAGAATGTAGGTGTGATTCATATTCATTAATTAATATTTGTTAAGAAGTCCTAGAGAGACAATGTGTAAATATAACAATGACTTTGATAGGTTATTTAGAAACCAGCCTATTTTCTCCCATACTTGTTCTAAGAATTTAGGTAACACATCCTTGAGGATACTAATTCTGATCTTCAAAATTTAGTCCCAATCAAAAATGATCCAAATTTGGATATTTGAAATTTCCATAATACATGAAAGTATTTCCATAATACATTTATGTATGGATGGATGCGCCAATAAGTAATTTAACTCTTGGATGTCAATTAAAAATTTGATAATAAATTAGAGTATGAATGTCAAGGCCACCAGAGGACCAAGCAATGCATAGAATTAGTACTTTACTAAATGGCACCCTTATGACTAATGAGGAAAGATGAGTGAAAGCAATAGCCAAATGAGATTGTAAATCCTTGTTCAACTACAGCTTCCAGAGAATCAGTTTTCCATTTCTTTAGCCTACAGAAAAAACAAAAAACAAAACAAAACAAAACAAAAACAAACACAAACAAACAAACAAACAAAAAACCGCTTTTCTTCCTGCTGAATTCTGTATCAGGTGGGGAGGGATAAAGAAATAGTTCCGCATTTTGATTTTTCTGAAAGAGTGAGCATATTCAGTCCCTAGGTCAGAAATGGAAACTTCTATGTTGCCTCCTTGTTTTCCAGATTAAGAAATGCCTTACCTATATTTTAGAGCCAAAAAATAAAATTCAAAAGGCAACAAATAGCAGTATGTTTTACTTATGGAAAATAAAATCTTCCTGTAATTTAAACCTCTTTAAAAACCACACTTCTCCCGATGTGCACACTCTCCTATTCTTACATGATAATGACCTTAACCACTGCATAATTTGTTTAAGAATTTTATTGCTAACATCTTAAAAAGAATAAGTTACAGCTTCTGAGGAAGGAGTTGGACTTTTTCACTTCAGGATTCTCTCCAACTAAACAAAGCTAGTTTTAATGAAAACTCAGCTAATTCAGCCTCATAAAATAAAGAAGTATATGAATACCAGCTTATTAATATATTTAATGAATACTAGAAACAAATTAACTTTTGTTTTACAGGATGATACTCTTCAATAAGAATGCAATTGAAGGGACGCCTGGGTGGCTCAGTTGGTTAAGCAGCTGCCTTTGGCTCAGGTCATGATCCCGGCGTCCTGGGATCGAGTCCCACATCGGGCTCCTTGTTCATCAGGGAGCCTGCTTCTCCCTCTGCCTGCCATTCTGTCTGCCTGTGCTTGCTCTCTCTCCCTCTCACTCTCTGACAAATAAATAAATAAAATTAAAAAAAAAAAAAGAATGCAATTGAAAATGTACTGAAATGAGATTTTGAATATTAAGCTGTGTTGTTTGCAGGTCCTTGAATCTCGTTCATACATTCCTCATTCATATACTAGGGGTACTGTGATTTTTGAGGTCTTCACAGATAGATTTAAGTTATACAAAAAAATGATCTATTACTGTTTACTGAAAATTCTCAAGCACTCTTCTCAAGAGAAATGTATTCGTGCTGAAAATCACACTTTCCTTGGGATATGGGAATGAAGTGATTATACCACACAAAATGTAGGCTTAGCTTGCAAAGTTCCCATCTCACATTCTATCAGAATACTAACCACTCTATGATTAAAGGCAACATGAGACACTAACTTATTTCTTATTTTATGTCTTACATCCCATTTTTTAATTTCCATATTCTAAAAGACAAAGACAAAAAGAATACAGCCTCCAAAATAGCATAGCACATATGAATTGGTAAATTTTTGACTAATGAACTCTTCAGATCATTTTAGAGTTAGCAATAGGAAGACTTGAACACTTTCAAATACTCAAAGATGAATTGTAAACTTTTCAACATGGAGTTAAATTTTAATTGACTTAGAATATTGATATAAAAACATTAGTTTTTCCCTCACATCTCTGATTAATAATATTTTTAAAAATCTCTAAAAAGTGAGATTGATTTCCTGAGTTACAGGACAGGTAAATGAACCTTTAATACCTCTGTTTTCAGAATATAAAACTCTATTTCCCTTGCCACTAGAACACTTCAGAAAAAGCAGTAAGTGATAAGAAGACATTGGAAAAACATGAAAATTAATGAATGAAGAAAATAGTCTGACATATGTTTGAATTTAAGAAATACAAGAAAATCTCTTTGGGGAGCATGGGATCTTTCAGATGGACTTATAATAAATATTATGTTATAAACATTTTTTGGTTTTTGTAAACATAAGCACAAATGAATATTAAGGGATAAATGATAATGTTATTTTAGAAATTACAAACATTAATGTCTTATTTACATTAAAAAACAAATCCATTCAACACAGGGTATTTGTAAAAATAGATTTCCTTTGAGAAGTAAAATAGTAATTAGAATCTCAAGATAGTTATGATATCATAAAGTCAAAGATCACCAATAAAAAATACCGCTGCTAAAAATGTAGGTAGGCTATCTTGGGTACCTAAAATCTAGGCCTCTAGGTTTCAATCATAAATATTATAGAAATAATTTCTATTATTGGGTAGATTGAAGTCAAAGAATAAAGAATATTTGAAATATTAACATTATATATAACCATAGATTTCATACAAAGTGGGCAACTAGAATGATGAAAAATAATTTGAGATCAAAGGTGGCAGCATCTAATTACTAATTTTATCTTATAAATGATACACCATCCATTTGAGAAGGAATGGAGTATCGTTTTTTGGTGACGGATATTACACAGCAAAACTCACAACTCTGGAGAATTGAAGCTTTAATATAGTTGAACTGGAGGATGAAAGATCTCAGTCAGTGGTTTAAAATTGTGCTTTTAAGACCCCGAGATTTCCACAAGGTATGTCCAGGTACTTTTAAAAGCCAGTAAATTTACAGTGGGCAATTTTAATTGCATTATAATGTAGTGAATTTAAGGTCAAAACCAACTATACATGAGAAATGAAAAGCAGTGAGATTACAAAATCTCAAAATGTCTAACAATCTTTGGTCTATTATGTCTGTTCACACATGCTTGTGATAGAATGTTCCATTGGAAAATACTTCTGTGGTAACTGACTCATCCTGATATGATTATACATGATATTGGGTCACAAGATTTCGGGTCAAGATTTTTCAGTATTTCAGTGTTTTCAGTACAGACTACTAGGAAAATTATTCTTCTCAGCCCTTAATTTCCACGATAAAATGTTGTGTTCTCCTCAATGATTTAATCTAAACAGATAGTATTTTTAACGGAAACCTCGTAGTGACTTGACATTCCATTACAAAATGGCATTTTAGAAAACATAACAATAAGAACATCTTAAACTTCAATTCTTTCCCAGTCATAATTTTAGATAATTCTTACAGTCTAATTTATGTAAAATCAATTTAAAAATTTTTTTCTTCACTTTATTTTGTCTTGTTTTCTAAGAATGCATTAAAAAATTCTGGATCTTCCATAAATTTTTCCATGAAAACTGTTACCATTTGATTAGGTATCTAAGCACATTTGTGGCTAAATCATTCATCCATTCATTCATTCATTCAGTGTGTGTGTGTGTGCACATGAGCGCACACACACAAATACACATGCACACACAGATACACTCAAAATTACTAGTGTTATCTGAGTAAAAAGATTAGAAAAACATTTCTGTGGTCAGGTTTTCTGATGTGTTCTTTGAGAAGGAAGCATTCTGCCTTTCTATTTTTCCTTTTATTTATTTTATAAACTCCCTGAGCCCTCTGTATAGTGGAAAAAGATTTTATTTTTAAAATTCAAGCATTTAAAATCTGACTTACATTTGTTCTTGCCAATACTTTCTAAATCATGTCTTCATAAATTTTTACTTTCACAATAAGTTTATATTTGCGATTTACCTCAAGGTAGGCCCGGATGTCAATCTTTTTTTTCCAAGATGTAAATTCTATTTATTCTACATAGTGAAGATATATCTCTTACAACAACTATATTTGAGACTCAAGTAGTATGAACAGTTCAGCAACTTTTATTTTCATTTTTAGTTTTCCATAACGTGGTTTAAAAAATCACAATGTAAAGCTATTTATGTTACACTTTAGCCATTGCCAGATTTCAGGGATTTTTGGTTTGTCACCAAAGCCCCATGCTCAGAAAAAGAATTTTTAGAGTACGTTAAGTCAAGTGAAACAAATCCATGCTTTCATAATAAGTTTGAAACTTTTTACAAGTACAATAATTTCAAAAGACTGAGAAAAAGATCTCTTGAGTTTTATCAATCTGCTTGTTACTTTCTCTCGTTCTCAGAAGATCACTGGTATCCATCCCACCATTTCTCACATGTACACACATGTGCACATATATTCACAACATTTTTTTTAATTAACAAAAATTAATTTACATCTAGAGAATGCAAGTTACAATTTAAAGTGCTCCAAGGAAACCTTATACTTCTCTAAAATGCATTTCGGATTATCTTTTCCTTGCAAATTTTAACTACAGATAACAGCTCGATATGATAGTACAGGGATTTAGATTCTTTAATCTGGGCAGAAACTATCTGGATTATTTCACTTTTTCCAAGATAGTACACTATTATGTAGGAGTCTCTCTAAATCTGTGGATAGTCTCTGGTCTTTCCTACCAACCTATAGCTTATAGCTATAACCCAGATATATAATCAGGATTTGCATTTGTAAGTAATTAAGATTATCCCATTTGGACACTGATTCCCAGAATGTGCATATTTTTTTTTTTTACTTCACCGATATCAAATTGGAAATATCACCTCTAACATCTAATATCTGAAATAATCCAAGCTTAAAATATTAAATAAACCATTTAAAGTTACATGTGGTTCTATTCTCCAATGCCATATGTATCCACAATGATAACAAAAAAAAAAAAAAAAAAAAATAGAAGATCCCAGTTAAGTTATGGTCATTCCATGGTTCTGGGAGAGAGAAATGGTGATTTCACCTTGAAGCAGCATTTCAGCAAGAAGTAGCATTCCACCTCCACATATGATATGATTTTAATCTTAATGGAACAACAAACACAGCAACATGTTAAATGTAAAACAGGTGCTACAATCTTACAACTTCTGGTTTAAATCAGGACCACAGCAAATGCTTTGGAAGAGAAGTATGAATGCTGGACATAAGCATGATGTGCTATACGTATATTTTCTTTGAAATTATCCTTTACCCAATGACTTGTTAAGATTCCCCTTTGGAAATCAGTTCACTCTTCTTTTAGGCACAACTGGTGCACTAACTGTTAAAATGTACACAAATGGAGAAAAATAAAAAAGGAATGCTGACGATAATACATATAGGTGGGACATTACATAGGAGTGAAAGCAGGTGGGGAACACTAACCATATTAGGCTTGGATGGGCAACAGCGCACAGGGAAGAAGCCCTTCCACAGCCACACTCGCAGCAACTGAAAAGCAAACAAGAGAGCCCAAGATAAGGAAGAGATCCCACTCCCTCAATATAGCATTAAGACTCTATGAATTTAGACAGGTGTCTGTTTTGCTTTTCAAAAGCAAAATCCCTAAAGGCATTACAATTAAATTTCTTCCACAATGCTTTTCAAATTAAATAGCATTTTATGGATTTACGAAATACAGTGCTATATTAAATAATTATTTTTATTTTACTTAAAATGCTTATTCGTAGGAAATATAATGAGCCAATGCTTTTGATTATGCAATTAATACAAACATACAAATAAAGATTTAAGCCCATTTAAATATATCTTTCCTCAGAAATTCCTACAAGATTTATATTCAGAAGACATGCTAAATTGTCCTTTAAATACATGTTTGCATAGAGCCTACAAATTAGGAGGGAGAATAATGTCCTACTAGTTTGACCCACTGATTTTGTATGCCAGTGGCATTATTTATCACAACCTATTGAAAATGTTACGCTTACATGACTTCTCCAATCACCTATGGAAAACTACCAATTTAAATTTACATATTCAGACTTAAAAAAAATGCATCTCCAAATATATATTTGTAGAGCTATTGCTATAATAAAAAAGCAAACTATATATAATACATGCACTTTTCTGGATATTGCAACATTTAAGATTCTTTCAAATTCTCCACATAGTCATAAAAAATCCAGAAAATACCAAGTAAATTACTTACTAAAATGTACTTTATCATTAGAAACCACAAAAACTGATCGCAGACTATAACATAAGTTTATTTAGTGCTTCAATGTATTCACTTGCTAGTATATTTTATGAATATCGTTTCTAGTGATTTCAAGAGAACAGAGAAATGAGCTCAGCAATGACACATAAACCAGTAGGCCTAGGGTTTTGTCTAAAATCTGTCTATTTTGAATTGTAATTATTTGAAATGTATCTACTCTATTTTATAACAAATAAGGAGAAGAAAGTGAAATATAAACATATAACAAATTTGGAAATGTTAAAAAAGGTAGATAAGTTTTTCCAAATCAAATTCCAAAGGGTCTTTTGGAAAGGAAAAGTAGGGATTATTCTTTCTATCTATCTATCTATCTATCTATCTATCTATCTATATAATTTTTTGGTAAACTGATGTTGTTTTAATTTTTAGGACTACTAATTGGGAATTTGGCTGTCACTAAAGTGGAATCCTAGTAAATAAAAATGGATACTGTGACAGTTATCTCCTATTTGACTATTTATTATAATATATTTTTAAGGGGTGCCTGTGTGGCTCAGTCTGTTGAGTGTCTGCCTTTGGCTCGGGTCATGATCCCTGGATCCTGGACTTGAGTCCCATATTGGGCTCCTTGCTCAGTAGGAAGCCTGCTTCTCCCTCTGCCTGCCACACCCCCTGAGTGTAAATTCTTTAAATTTAAATTCTTTAAATTCTTTTTAAATTTAAAGTTAATTCTTTAAAAAATATGCCTTGGGCTGCCTGGGTGGCTCAGTGGGTTAAGACTCTGCCTTCAGCTCAGGTCATGATCTCAGGGTCCTGGGATCGAGTCCCACATCAGGCTCTCTGCTGGGCAGGGAGCCTGCTTCCTCCTCTCTCTCTCTCTCTCTCTCCACTTGTGATCTCTCTCTGTCAAATAAATAAAATATTAAAAAAATATGCCTTAAAATTATTTCACTATAGAGATAATGAAATTCAAAGTTAAGGTATATCAAAATATTAAAATACTTAAAGAGTAGTTAAAACATCTGTGAAATACTTTGGCAGTTCTTAATATATTTCTTTATAATTAAATTAATTTCATTAATGTCTTAAACACGTACTGATGTCTTATATAAATCAACTTTCCTGTTTCTGTTTGTATCAGCCCTAAGATAAGGGGTTGCCAAACTACAGCGCATGGACCAAATCGAGCGTACCACTTATTTTTGTCTATAAGGTGTTGTTGGGACACAGCCATACTCGTTACTTGTGTGTGGCTTGTCCCATGCTGTTATGACACAGTTGAGTAGTTATGACAGAGAATATAGGGCCCTCAAACATTTAATACCTGCCCTTAGAGAATGTTTGCCTTCCTCTTTTCTTAGGCTATTAGTTTCCTAAGATGAGAATGATTCTTTGATCTTTTCTTTTACTTCACAGTTTAAACAAAATGAATGGCATCTGTGAGTAGTCAGTGTTTTACTGTAATTGGTATTACCTATGACACAATTAGCTCAATTTACTGATAGTTATTGATGTGGAAAGTTTGCATATCTGTGTTAATTTCAAAAAGCAGAGTTCCAATTCAATAAATAATTAATAAATAGTAATTATTGACAAATATATCTGATTACTTTTCGATGATTAAAAAAAAATGATGTAATCTCCCAATAAAGTACAAACATACTTTTAGTTGTAAACTATACAGTTTATAAACTCATGTAGAGCTGTGTTTAGGAAGGTGGTAACTTCACTGTGGTTTGGCATTACCTAACAGGATTTAATATTCAGCCAGTGTCCTGAGACAAAACACACTAATGATCCTAAAAATAATAATTTTCCTAATTTGAATGATCCTAAAAATAATAATTTTCCTAATTTAAAAATTATAAGGTTTATCTCTTACAATTTAATACACACACATACATACGCACATACACACAAATATACATGCTATTCACTGTAACACCCAATCCACAAATTTTAGTCTTGAAGAATTTATATCACCTTACTTATCACTAGAGCTTTAATTTAAAGTTTTAACAAACTTTAATCAAAAATACAAAATCATGTAAAATCAAACCCTTGCATTTTTTTTGAGTCATTGATTTAGAATTTGCACCGATAGCATCTGACTTACTTTAAGATGGCACAAATAAATTACCCTGGGTAAATTAGTTAACCTCTTTGTGTTTCAGTTGACAGCTATAAAATAGGAATAATAGCAGATCCTATCTCGACAGTTTTGTGAAAATGAGGTGAGAGAATATATATATTCACTTAGATCAGGATCTGGCATATCATACATTTTGGGAGAAAAGTGGTAACTTAGTCTTAGTAATATCATAATCAAAGTGATGGACTAGATTATTATCTCAGAGTAATTGTTTTTTTTTCACGATCCATATCATATGATCATACTAAATATTTCCACTTATAATATAAATATACATTATGACCAACTCATATAAATACCGAAGGGTCCATGTGATTTTCTTGAAAAATCAATCCCATGAATATTTTTTCCTAAGGATTTAGTAGTGATCACAGTATTCTATGCCTCATTAAGAAAATTAAAACTCGACTTCCTTTACTAGGACTATCAAATGTTTAAGAATAACCCCAAATAAATCTTTTAAAATAAACTCTGAGGATGCTGTCACAGTAACACCTCAGCACCAGATGGTATACAGGCTCTTCCCTTAATCAATAAATACTTGAAGTACAGGTTGAAAATGCTTACAAGCCTCAGAGATAATTTAGGAATAGAAACCAAGATGTGCTAGAAATAGCAGCCAATCTAATTTCTGTGAGCTATGGCTCCACACAGGCCACATCTGCATTCTCATCAGTCTGTAGCACCTGGAAGTCTGTAAGTAACTGCGTGCAGCTACAGCAAGATCATTATTAGCCAAGTTTAAAATAGTTTAGCTCTTCCAGGCTTATACTAAAAACAAGAAACAAAACAACAAAAAAAGCTGTGAGTCTTTGTTTCAACAAGATACTTTGATTTGTCCTTCAGAAGATTAAAATACAACAGAAGCTTCCCAGACCCAAAGAAGATTCAAATACAATTACTTTAGCCAGGACTTAACACAGAGTTGATCAATATATGCATGAAGTGTGTCAATTTGAGTAAGATAACCTCCCTCCTACCAAAGCAAGGTGATTTTAACTCTAGGGAAGAAATTCTCCACGATACTAGATCAGAGAATCAAGACTACAGGCTATGGATAAATGATTTAAATTGCTAAACAAGAGATCATAGAAGCAGATAAGAAAAGCTCTAAGATCCTAATAGACAAAGAAGAGAAACACAGGAAGGGTAATTTCACAAAACAAGTACTTTAATTAGGTAACAGATATTTTCAGTTTATTGGTTAAAAAAAAAAATTAAAAAGGGGAAGAAAACAAAAGGCTTTATCCCTTTAAGTAAAACAACAATAACAACAACTAATGGCACTCAGTACTAGAGAAAACAGAGTGGCACTTAGGCCACTGAAAAGTGGCACCAAGCCTTTAGGACGCAATCCTCTGAAACCTATCAATGAGCAATAAAAAAGTCCTTATCTTTTGACACTATTACAAAGCAAAAGAATTAAGATCATGGGATTTGTAGTCAAACTAGGAGCAGTCCTGGATGCATCCATTACATATGGGTCACTTGGGTAAACCAGTCATGGATGTGAATAAGGTAATAACAGAAACTATGCCACACGGTGAGGTTTCGAAGAATGAGTTTCATAATACATGCGAAGCTCTTTGCACTGTCCCAGACTCACAGTGAGCATTTTAGAAGTTTTAAAAATGACATGATTATAATAATCTGGTCTTAGGGCAAAGAGTGAGGTGCAGAAAATATGCATGAAGTTGGTCATATTAAAGAAACTAAATAATGAATATTTTGAAGAAAACAAAATACATTTGTGGAGTCTATGATGTGATGAAAATCAGTACCCTATATACATATTAATTAGTGTGCAGAGAAATAAAATGATGACAAAAGTGGTTTTTTAAGGACTATTGTTGAAATGTCCCATTAATTAATATTATGGGGCAATTTTAATTCTCTCTGCTTCTGATGTTTTGTGGTTATTTCCCTTTATAATTTTAAGAAAGTGAAATCATTTAAAAATGTTCAATTATGAGGTTTATCACAATACAATGTCATTTACACACTATCATTTTTATTTTTTTAATTTTTTTATTGTGTTATGTTAGTCACCATACAGTACATCATTAGTTTTTGATGTAGTGTTCCATCATTCACTGTTTGCATATACCACCCAGTTCTCCA